AGAAAATAGCAGCATCATCCAACCTATGGAAATATTTGCAATTGTATCATTTTCCCCTCCTAGAGCAGAGAGCTGATGCAGAAATTCTTATTCCAGCAAGAGGGAATGTAGCTAAGACTTAAAATAAGAAGGTTGGCACAACACACTTCGGAAAGACGTATCTCACCAGGTTGAGGACACTGTGCCACCCTGCACGCACACACGGCCTCTCCTCAGAGAGTGGAACAAGGGATCCATCTCCCAACTCAACCCTACGTTGGCTGCTCTGTCAAAAATACCTTTATTAAGATCAATGAAGTGAACCCAGCGGTGACCCGTTGCACCGATACAGACCCTACGTGCAAGGAGGATGTTATTCTCACAGGGAAGGAGAAGGAGTGAGCAGGTACCAGCCTAACGGTGACTCTGGAGAAGGGCAGGGGAAAGAAGGGAGGGCTGCTCTGCTTCACAAGCCTGTAAGTCTGAGAGGATGGCAGAAAAGTTACTCCTTGCAGAGTAATGTATTTGTCCTACTTTACAGTATCTGAATATTTTTGCTGGGCTTTGCACTAGAAGGTACCCGAGACTTTTAAATTTGTGGACTGGACTACGCCTTTGCAAGATACTCTAGAAGCAAGGTTACCTGGTCTGTACAGCGCTTGTGTATAGGGAAGCATTATACAGAGGAAGATATAACTCCTGTCTCAAGAAAGTCATGGTCTTGAAGGCAGAGGGAAGACAAAAGCTTTCCACACAGAAAAATGGATTTTCAAGCATACGTCTTTGCAGAATGGCCACCCAGGAGACAACTACCATGGTCCCATCAGCGCTGGTAGAAGAAGCTAGGCTAGGATGGGATCATAGGACCTCAGGAACCCATCTCATCCAATCTCCTGCCCAATACACCTTCCACAAATCTTGAAGAGGCACAACAAAGGGAAAGACGATATCTAGGGAAACCCTCAAGTAACCGTAAAGACAGACAAAATGCATATCAGATTAACACAATTCATCATCTTCATGATGTGATTGCTTGCCAAGCAAGAGTGCAAACTCAAACCATCATGTGGCTCAAGAAAAAATAAGAGCACCTGCCCACAAACAGCTCTGACTTGTTTAATGTCATTGACACAGGAGCATGTCCTGTAGCTGTTTTGATTCTGTACCTTTCCTGGCCTTAAGAAAGTAAATTCCCATGATAGACCTTAGCAGGTAAAGTTGAAGGCTACGTTTGGATCAGCCCCCTTTGAAGACATCTCACTTGATTTTTGTTTTCAGTGTCCTCCCCATGAGCCTAGTGGTTATGAAATATTTCAGTTCTGGGTTTGTGGATGGAAAAAGCAAGTTTTGCTTACACGATGTCCCAGGCTGCCCATCAGCGTTCATCAGCACTGGGCCGAATAGAGGATCTTTACATATTTTCCTAGATAAATATTTTGATTCTCTGGTGTTCCTGTTGTGATTGCTGCCAGCTGGTGCTGTCCTATGAGCTGGGCACCTGCCAACAACTGAACTGTTCGGAAAGGCATGAAACAGTCTTAGTATCTCTCAATGAGAAAATATATTCACAGGTATCTATATACAGGTTATATATAACCACAGGTCTCCCCCATGCCACTAATGCCACCACTTTGCCCCCTCTTTAGGGATGTTACACACTATGATTCAAGGTGCTGACCTGAGGAACTTTAATATTAGCTGAGGTACGTCAAACTAACACCGCAGTGATGACACACCTGTGACGGACAGCCGGTTTCTCAATTCTAAAATCTCAACCATGAACCTTTACCGCCCTACATCTCCTTCAGCCAATAACCAGGAACACAAGACTGACACGTATTTTGAAGTTTCAATTCAACCTCAGAGAAGGACCCAAGAGGACGAGTATCGTTCAAAATTTTCAAAATTATTGACTCATAGATCTGAGTGGGAAGTATCCCTAAAACCAGGTTCTTTCACTTCAACACTTTTGAAACTGCCCATAAAAAAAGGAGCCAGAACCTAACTGCATTAATGTTCTTAGGTGGCAAACCAGCTCCCGCTGAAGTCAATGGGAGAAGTGGATGAGGTAATGGACTATCAAGTGCCGTGAACAGAGAAGAACACAGAAACCCAGCAAGTTCAGTGACAGCTGATGCAAGACATTTATTGATATAAACTCAGCATCTAACAGCATATCTTGCATTTGATTTTTTTTTGTGTTTTTTTTTTCTTTTTGTACCTCAAGCAAACTGAAGTTTCCACTTTATTAATACCCATTTACCTGCAGGAATTTTAGTAAAACATTCTTTGTATTAAAATTTTTAATACAGCTGTATGTTTTCACCTACAAGAAATAAACCCCCACACGTCTCATTAGTTATCTACATAGTTTAATCACTTACAAGCATAATTTTTAACCTCTAGGAAAATAGTTTGAAAGTATATGTAATGAACTTTTCATAAACCTTTCACTTTTTGAACAGAGTCCTGCATAGGATTTAAAAAATTCCTTTCAATTGATTCTCTTTTGCTTAAATTTCAAAAGAAAATGTAAAGAGATGTTAATTGCTTTGAGCTAATGAATCAAAGTATAGTTATTTCTTCTACGACCATCTGAACTGCAACCTTTTAGCTTCTTTAGAAAGACCTGAGCACCAACCACAGCAGGAGGAAACCTCCACATTCCTTTACACATCTTTATTATCTTTTGGACGAATATTATATTTTTGAAGACTATCATAGGGCAAATTCTTTTCTCAGCAGTACCTTTGTAAATCTGAATCAAATCCACTTCCTTCTGTGGAATTATTCTAGATGGATACTTAACTGGGATCAGAATCAGGCCCAATAGAAAAGAAGTATTTTTAGTTTCGAAAGTATTTCCCTGTTATGTGTCTGTTACTTTCCAACGTACAGTGCAATATATGAAAAAAGCACTAATATGTATCCATCGTATTGCTTAATTATAAAACAAACAGTATAAACCAAGAAGAGCTTATAAAAAACGGGAGAGTAACATAAAAGAGGCTTGACTTCTTTTACCACGCGTTAAAAGCATCCTGTATCATGAGGGTAGTGCACGTGATATTACACATAACATCCTGCTTGGATATTGAAAGTAAAAGGCTCTGAAATCAATATATTCATTTTAGTCAGCACATGATCAAGGTGCAGCCACAGAAGGAAAAAAAAAAAAGTATTCTTTTCTACAAGCACCTTTTGTGAATTCAATCCCTGTTAGCAGGAATATTGCCCAGACGACTCCAGAACAAGCTTCACAATTTTACCTGGCTGGGAAACACTGAGGCAACATCACACATCAACATTTCCAAGGCAAAAACTCACTCAATCCTCTCTTTTCATGCTAGTTAGAAATTCAGCTGTGTCTGAGCGTTTCTGGTTTCCCCGCACCACCTAAATAAAAACATTTTATACTGCAGCAGTGCTCCACAGCTCAGCTGGGACGAGGTGTTGGGACTTTTCACCCCACATCTCTGTCAGATAGAGAGGGCCGCTGCTTGGTCCTACTGAGATCGATGACAAACTCCAGCTGACTTCAACTGGGACCAATATTTGGGCCTGTGAGCTCATTTCTTTCCAGGGCTGAGCAACTTGGTGAAGGTCTGTGCAACATCCATTTTTGGTGAAGCCAACAGGAATGGGCCATGCTCGGTGCATCTTAGCCTTCCCCTCACAACCAGCACTCCCGCGGAGCTGCAAAGCTCCAGAGAAACTCAACAGAAGGCAGTACCTCTACGAGACAGCTCAACGTACATGGTTACAGTAATACGATGCAATTGCAACCGGCAGTGCTTCCAAGCAGCCCAATACATTTTGAAGAGATGTATTTTTCATTCATGGTAAAGATCTCTTTTCTTTCTTTTCTTTTTTTTTTTTTTTTTTTAAACTTGTCTTTGTGCTCCTGCTACTTCGCTGTAGCTCAGTGGTGAATTCCTCTTAGCACATATAGGAGACGTTATCCATCAATCTGTTAACAGTAATGTTTCACCACTGGCATCTACAGGAGACCGAATATTCTTCCAGTAATATTTATTGACAAAGACCACATTTGTGGTTCTTCATACGTGTTAGCATTTGATTATAGACGCAGAAGTCATTTTGTGCAGCACTTTAATCTTTTGGTGCACATTAGGTAAATCTGTATTTTAAAAGATATGGTTTATAAATCCACTACACTAGAATGCAGAATAATGAAACCTACATCTTTAGACAACTAGGAAGTGGACTTGAAAATAGCAGTCATTTAAAAAAGATGGTCTTTTTTTACTTAAAGCAGAAGAGAACAACGAAACCCTTGCTTCCTCAAGTCAGCGGGTCTTTCACCATTGACTTCAGTCAAATTAGGATTTCAACCAAAAGGTCTGAGCCACCCTTTGCATTCCTAATAAATGCAATATCTTCTATATGTTTCACCCTGTGGCAGAGGTTTAAAATAATGTGACCAGACTGTGCATGTTGAAAGGCTTATGAAGAAATTTTGATAGAGCTAATCGGTGTCAAAAGCGTACAGCAGAGTCAAAGCAGTGTGAAGCTTCGTGACCTTCGGGCACACACAGTGACAGGAGATTGTTTTAGCTGGAACCAGTCCTCCTATCCTGGGCTGCTGCACCATGCTGAAAAGCTTAGATACTTTCACCTTCTTGCCACATCATAATTTACAAATTGGCACTTGAAATAATTTTTAAGTTCATGGACAAAAACGCACTCATTCATTTATATTTCTGTCATAGGCAGGAGAATCAGGCTTTTCCTAAACCTACCATCACTGCTCCACTATGGAATGATATATGTTCACCTCGATCAAAGCTTTTAAAATTACAAACTGTTCTGACAGACATGTTCCCTTTAAGACTGGAAAAGCTCGACATATCATATTTAAATATATTTTCCTCAAAGGTATTCCCTCATACATGTTACCTTGTAATCTTTGCCACCAATTCCCCTCACCTACAACAATTTTGATTAGTTTTTTCTAAAACGCTGCTTTCTTTTGAGTTGAAAATTATGCTTGCATTTGCTCAGCTTTGGGAGAGGTCTTCTGTGCTGATGTGCAAGGTAACAGGCTCGCCAACAGTCCCATAGCTGAGGGTTCTTGTAGAAACTTCAGTTTTAAAGCTTGACTGTCCGTTGTCTGCTGAGAGCTGGACTTCGGTGCAGAAAGATGGTTTCACTGTGAAGGAGGGACCAGGAGAAGCTGCTGCTGTTGCTGCATGCAGTCCAGGCGTCACTGCCATGCAGGTATCGCTGACATGGAAAGAGATGTTTGAGGGGCCTACAGACTGCACACCGGTTACTCTAGATGCTGACATGAATATGCCCCCAGGAATGTGCTCCTCAAACTGGCTGAAAAATCTTTGCCTGGGCTTGGACACCACAGGTCTCACCAGATTCAGCAGCACTGGCTTCCCAATCGTTGGCTCGTTAATCTCTGTCTGGAGTACGGAGATCTCGCAGGGTTTCTCTGCTGTATGGTTCTGATCATCACACCCATAGGTCTCACCTTCTTCAGGAACATAATCTTCAAGATCCTCCAAAGTCAATACTTTGCCATTGTGGGTTAAGATTTTGCGGTCCCGGGTGCTAATGTCATCTGTCTGTAGTTCCTCTGGTTCATCAACTATAACGACATTATCCTCTTCTGGAAGGACATCTTGCATTACTTGAGGTACCCCCTCTTCAACAGGCCAAGATACATCTAATTCATCTACCTCTTCCTTAACCTCTGGACTCGCTGGTGGGAACAGAAGTTCGTGCTGGTCTGCAGCATCTGTCTCAAAACTGAAGATCAAAGGCTCGCCCCCGCAGGCAAGCAGCGGGGAAGCGACATCTGACCCGTAGCGAGCACTTGTTTCCTGTGGGAAGCTCTGTCCTTCAGTTCCACAATCCATAAATGAATTATTTCCTGGTTGTTCAGACCCACACGGGGAGCTTCTGTCTTCACTGCTGACTTGAGGTCCTTCCTGCTCGGTTGCATACACCAAGGGCTGGATATCAGCTTCAGAGAGACCGTCATTAGGCAAAGATTTTGACTGTTCCACCAATTTATTGTTGGAGTTGTTTGTGTTTGGATCATCTTCTGGGGAACGCCTAGGCCTTGAGCTGGGAAAAGTGAATGTTAACACCCCCGAGTCATCTTTTTCTTGTTTTGCTGGGGAAGAGCCTCTTTTCCTTGCAGGTTTTGGTGATTTTTTCACCTTGAATTCAATTATTTCTTCCACTTCAACCCATTTGGGCTTTTTCTCTTCCACCCTGGTCTCTATGACGACATCTCTAGCTGCTGCTCCTTGCCTGTCCTCTGGTTCTGTGACAAAAAGCATGGGAACAGCAGACTTCGGTGTGGCCTCCTGCTCGTGTCTGTGGACAGGCTGCCTGATCTTTGAAACGTAAACTGGCTCTGGAGTTGGCTCCGCTCTTGGGGAGCGGGAAGGCGAATGACCTGAAGAAGAACGTGCAGGAGAAACCCTTCCCCTTTGTCTTGGGCTCTTCACCACGGTGGTTATCGTTTCCTCTCTGATGACAGAAAGGGTTGGAATGGAGTTGGCGGGAAGATGAGACTTTTCGAGGAGCCACACTCCATCAGCACATGCCATTGTCGGTCAAGGCGCTACAGTGGGGTTAGTTTTGTGAGCACTCCAGCTTTTGGAGAAGCGTGTCATTTTGAAAGGGATAACACACGCAATGCACACACCCACATGCCCATCTCCACTTACTTTCTGATCCAGGGAAAACCTCCGTGCCCTTTCCCAGAGGTGGAGCCTAGCTCCATTAACCTCCTTGAGTGCAGGGACACACAAGAAGTATGTTCAGCTGAGAAATGTTCTTCTGGGTGCTGCTGTATTTCATGTGTTGTGTTGACCACCTACTATGCTACTTTGGACCCATACAGCAGTTTCACCCAAAGATTTTAAGCACTCAAGGAGTTTAACCTTTTCCTGAGTATCCTTGGCTAAAATCCTAGCTTCACCAAACTCAATGGCAAAATGCCCTTTATTACAGTAGGGTCAGCAGCTTCCTATTTTTTAATAAATGTAACACATCTATTTTGTTTATTAAAGACTCTTTTGAGACCGGAGATCTGCATTTTCACATGCAGAACATTAAAAGGGCATTAAACATTTGGAGACCAGGAAAAGAAAGTTAGAACATTTCCTGCACAAGTCATCTATGCCAAAACGTACTTATTTTTACTCTTCACAATATCATTATTGCAGACACAGCCTGATCCTACTACCACCAATTGACAGAGGAGTACCAAACCAACCTGGGATGCATGACTATAATTTCTCAGCATATTTCTGCTGGCCTTACTTTAGATTTTTTGACATACCCAAAGCAGTTGGGACTTCTCAGCATCCCTGTATAAATACACAGCTTGTGTCAAAACAATCTTCTGCTCCCATGCCAGGACAAACTTCGACTTCAGATGAGCTACAGATCAAATTGGATCAAATAGCTTTAAAATCTGGGGACAGGAACACCTAAACCCAGACTTCAGTGCTCTTAATTTATATATTTAATACACAGTTTTTCCTGCAGATTTTTCAGTGGCATTTCTTACATGGAAAAACTTGAAGGTAAAGACAGCGTTTGCTTTGCAAGCACAAGGAAGCTAATGCTCTGCAGGGGAGGTAGCTGGTTCAGTGGAACTAACAGGCAAAGCTGATTTTGTTTCTGTGTTGAGATCCTGTCCCTACCTCCAAGCAATGGGATAAAAAAAGACTTAACTGAAGGGTAAAGACAATGGCCTGAACTGGGATTATGAATCAAAAAAATAACTTTTTCATTTCTCTCTTTCTCCTCAGCAGCCTCTAGTCACAGCCACATAGGGCTGAAAGTCCCCAGCTCTGCTCTGGCTTTTGCACTGAGATAGAGAAGGGTGGAAGGAGTCCTTGTGAAAGGAAAGCCTGTTTCTCCTACGGCATTTGTCTAACCATCATGGAAGACTAATCCTCTTAAGATATATTGTAGCCTTTCTCATCTATTGGTCTCATTTTTGGAGCCCGGTATTTTCTTCTTCCATGGAGATCAGATTTCTTCCCACCATCAATCTCTCCCTTTGAGGAGGTGGTGAAATCCAGGTGGATCAGCTACAGTGAGATTTCTTTTCTTCCAGAGCATGCTCTCTTCTACTGCTCATTTCCACTGCTTTACTCTTTCC